ATGGATGAAATATATTGTGTTTTCTCATGTTTCTCCTTCTCCTTCTCCTCCTGCCAAACAGTCAAAGGGATTCAACTCCGCCATCATTCAGCCAAATGACCTGAAATTTGGCATGGAGGTAGAGTCGGCAAATACCCCCAGACGTTTTTTTTCCTTTTTTTTTAAAACATGCCTTTGAAAAGTTTTTTTGGGGCATTTTTCGACAAAAATGGATTTTTGGCCGGATTTTTGTTTGTGGCCGGGAAAGGCCGTTAAACTGACTGTTAAAGTGTAAATGAATTATAATTTTCGCACAGGTGCCACACCCGCTGACCAACACCAGACTGATTACCAGGCACGTGCGGACGACGATGAAAGTACCTCCGACCACACCTACGAAGCCATGCCGGGTAAAACGTTTTAAGCCCTTCTCTGTTTGGTACATATATTCTCCAGTACTTTGCAGTTGGCCCGTATGTAAAGTTTAAAGTGCCAGACGCGTGATTGGTCTGTAAAAGTATTTTTTGTTTATATATTAGTATGTGCCGTGTTTTTGTCGAGATCCCTGGGCAATGTAATTATTGAAGCAAGCAATGGATCATTGGGATCATGGTGCAAAATATAATGACATGAATATGGATAAAATATTGAATTCAGTGAGAAATAACCAGCCAGGGCCCCCTTTGCAAAAACATAAGAATACTTTAACCCTTTTTAGACCAGAGGGGTGGGGGACTTCTGAGGCCCGCGCAAGCTTTCCTCTCAGATAGCGCCTGAACCTTGACAAAATTCAATTTCAAAAATTTAATATTGACGATCCAAGATGGCAGGGAGGTTATATATTCATGGTCTCATCTTATGACGTTATTAGGATGTCTGTGTTGTTTCCGGGGCAACATATGCCGTAGCAGTCCTTAATAAACCTATCAGAGTCACTTTTAGTTGTATTCCTATGAGTTTGTGAGGTGAGGTATTCCTATGAGTTTGACAGAAAATTTGACTGTTTTAGTCAAAATCACAAAAATGGCTTAAAATGAGGTCATAATTACACCAAAGTCGTCTATATGATTTAATTTTAATACTACATAATTCTCTGAAATTTAATGGCCCTACGAGAGGGCCTGGAAGGGGTGGTCCCGACAACGCTCTACGCTGAATTCGTAAACCTCTCGATCACGCTTTACGATAAATTTTCAAGTGGCTACAATGCATTACGTAGAATTGGAACACCGAATACGCTCTACGCAAAAATATTGGAGAGGTCCGTCTACGCTCTACGTAGAATTAAAACGGTCGATTACGCTCTACAGAAAAGGGCTTGCCCCCCCCCC